AAATTTTGTCTATTTTTTCACTTTGACTTTGTCTAGGACATAAGTCTAAAAACTATAAGAGGTATCAACATGAAACTTTGTAAGTAGATAGATCTCATTAAGAGGGTTTGCAGAACACAAGAACTGTAACACTGTCTTGTCTACTTTTGGAGTTATTGCCCTTTGTTTATTTTGACGCTTTGAACATTGTCCGGGACATAACTCTGAAATTATAAGAGATAGTAACATGAAACTTTGTAGATAGATAGGTATCATTGGGTAGAAGTGCAGTGCTAAAGAATCATTACCCTGCCTTGCCTTATTTTGAAGTTATTGCCCTTTGTTTATTTTTACTTTTTGACTTTTGTCCGGACATAACTCTAAAACTATTAGATATATCAACATGAAATTCTGTAGGTAGCTAGATATCATTGGATTGAACTGCAATGCTTAAATAACCTAAACAAAGCCTTGTCTAATTTTGGAGTTATTGCCCTTTGTTCATTTTAACATTTTGAATTTTACCCGGGACATAGCTCTGAAACTATAAGTGATATCATTAGGAAACTTTATAGATAGATAGATCTCATTGAATAGAAGTGCATTGCAAAAAAGCATAACTCCGCCTTGCCTTATTTTAGAGTTTTTGTCCTTTGTTCATTTTTTCATACTTTCCTGTGTCCAAAACCTTCTCGGGGAGCATCACCCGGTTCAACCGGTTCTTGTGTCTTATATGGTGCATTAAGTTTGTTGTAGACATCACTTGCGATGCTAAAGTAGCCCAGCAGGTCACACAAAAACAGGTGACGGCACAAGTGTACCCTATCGACATATGAAACTAAACCTAATTTTCCGTTAGGTGTTTACGTAATATCTGAAGGATTATAAGTAACAGTAAACGATTAAATAAGTTAAAATGAGAAAGCAGAGCGAACAAATGTAGCTGTTTAAAGTGTTTATTTTTTCTTTTAAGTTTCTAACCGACTGAATTGGCTTTGTCGTTGTCCTATATTTGGTATGTGTTTTCTAATTGGTTAAAGACTAGAGAAGGCGATGCAAGATGACCAATGCCTTTGAACTCTTTTTTTTTAATTTTTCAGAAACATAGGTTGCCCATTTATTTTCCCCGTAATTGGTGCAGTGGGGTCGGAGAGCCATCTCCTACTGTACCTTACATTATTATTTCATGGCATATATCACCATATTATATCTAAAACATTTAAGTGACATTAAGCTCATTTTTTGCAATGTCAAGTTGAGTTTTATTGACTATAGATTTCAAGATTGACAATAATAATGGTGCTTGACAACAGTTGATATAAGAAAAAGTTTTGGATAAAATATATATCTGCCTAAAACATAAAGACTGTCCCATTCTTTTATTAAATAGAATTTTATCCCTCGACAGATATCTCCAAAACATTCTTTGAGACATACGAGTTACGGAATATATTGAAAAACTGAAACGAATCATGGTAAAAATGTAAGGTTATTTCGACTTTCACCTGTTTATTCACTATTTACCTTTGGATGGGTATAATGTCACTTTAACTAAATAGATACAATATTGATATGCTAATATAATCATTAATAGCTAAAATGGGTACTTTGTGTATTTTTAAAGTAGTCTATTGCTGAATAAACATTTTCCTTTATTCTTTGAATTATATATGTGAAAGAAGGCAATGTAAAGATAACCTCATTTTAAAACAAAATACTAAAGATATTACTACACAGCAGTGTTGCATATACATGTAAGTTATTGAATTTAAAGCAACAAGTATATGGAAAAGGCAAAAACAATTTTGAGGTTAAAATTCATCTCATTCAGAGGAAAAAATTTTCATTTTCCTAAACAAGTCTTCACTAAAAAGAAAAAAAGAAAGGATTGTTGGTGTAAACTTGGAGGATTTACTTCAAAATTATTGAAATTCTCTAAATATTAGTAAAGGTCACTGATGGAAGGTCTGTCAGGAAAGTGGAGTGTCTTAATAATATTAATAATTAAACAAGGGGTATCGACTTCTTAATAATATTAATGATTAAACAGTCTCACTAACCTTTGATTTTTGTAAGCACAGATTTGGCAATGATTGAAATTTCACATTCAACTTCAGCTTCAGACGTGAAAATGTTTTATGTCATGGTTATAAACGGTGCAATAAATACTGCATGGTTTTTAGTTAAAGCATCCGTAATCAAAAGGTTTTTTTGGGAACGAGTATTTTATACTTTCTCCTTACTTTCTAGGAAATGAATTTCAATTTAATTTACATTTGAACGAATTTGCATTTTACTCTTTTAGGCCTTGGGGACACGTGTGGCGATAACGCGGACTGTTCCGGTGTTAGTAACTCTGAATGTAGTACAAATTGTGTGTGCAGCTCAGGTTATACACAGAGCGGTTCAATTTGTAGCACTGGAAGTCGTGGTGAGTTCATGACAAATTAAATCTATTTATTTATTTATTTATTCCTAAATTGCTATGCTTTGAAGTGATTTAACAGTGATTCATAATTTGACATTCTAAGCATTGTCCGTATAAAACAATTTATCTACTTTACTTTGTACCAAAACCAATCATGCCACTGACATATCAGAATAACCTTAATTGATGTACTTTGCTCTTTCTCCTAATAACACAGTCAAACAGAATATTTCACATCTGTTTTATTCATATTTTGTCTTTATAAGCAAGCTATGTTTTATCTGCTTCATGATTTAGAAAATATATTGCATGATTTCTTTTCTCTTTTCAGGTATGTCAAATTTGCCATTATCAATATCATTATTTGTAAGTGTGTTGGCTGTTATTATGAAAATGTGTTAGATACGGGATGACAATTCGCCGAGACATATAATTGGTAAGTAATCACCTACTCAGTTACATTAAACTGATAATGGTAATATAAAAGGGCGCTTAATTCCCAAATTTTTACATTATTGAAATGACGGTCATACCTTTCATGTGATTGCTCCTAAGTGCTGGATGTCAATTAAGTAGACTGCTCCTTAAAGTTGTATGTCTAAACTATGGTATGGTTGCTCAGGGTTTGAGATTATACCTTTAAGTATGATTGCTCCTTTCAGTTGGCGGTCATACCTTTTTGGTTTGATCGTTCCCTGAAGTTGGTGGTCATACATTTTGTTCCGATTGCTCCTAGGGGTTAGGGTTATACCTGTTGGAGGCCATACATTTTTTATGATTCCTTTTGTGAACTGGGCTGGAGGTCATATCTTTTGGTATAATTTGCTCCAAGAGGTTGGGGTAGCATACCTGTTAGCATGATTGCTCATTTGGGTGAAGGGTCGTTTTTTTATAATTTGCTCTTTGGGGGAGGGGGTCATACATTTTGGTAGTTTTGTCCTCTTTGGTACTTGGTACTGCACATGCGTAAAAGGGGAGATTAACCCGTCAACCCGACTCTAGGGCTTGCCGTTTCGGGGAAGCAAAAAGTATCTGCGAATGTTATGTAATCGATTGGCACCAAGAAAACGCAAGGTTTGCAGGAGTTCAAGAAACAATCGCAAGTCACCTGATAACCCTGTTTTTGGATATACGCTCGTATAAAGTGAGATAAGTGACTTTGACCATAGTTCATAATACGGTTTTGTTTGTATGGTAACACCATGATTAACAAGGCTGAACTGCGAGTTATATTAATAAGGAGAACGATAATAATGAAAAGCACTGAGTGATAAACATATTTATTCTAAGACTTTCACTTTTTCGAATGTTATTATTTTAAAATACATTATGTTTCAGTTTATTTACAAGCCACGCTTCTCATGTTAGCAGTACAACACGGTACATTACTACAAAATATTGAATAATGTGCATATACGTGTACATCTTTAAAGGTACTATAAATCAGCTTCTTTAAAGCATGCACAGTCTCCCAATAGGTAATTACTAGTATCTGGCTCTGACGTGTTGTAAATCCCTTGCAGCGCATGTGCACCCCCCCCCCCCCCCCAGTACACACACACGCACACACCTTGCAAAAAAGGGAAATGGTATGAAGATGATGTCCAACAATTTCCATTAACCTCAAAGTGTTATACACAAAACAGAATTGCGTTGCTTAAAAGAAAGTTATCCTTTATTTAAATAATGCAGCATGTTATAATATATTAATATTTACGACAGATTATGTACCCAATCATAAAACGGTTGAAAACTTATATTACACAAGTCCTAAGTGAGTGATATATGAGCAAACTACCATTTATACACAGTCATACTACCCTTCAACAGTCTTAATAGCGAATTAATAATACAACACAATTGTTTTGACTAATCAAGATTGATAATAAGATATAAGTTCTCAGCAGCATTATGTTTTGATTATTTTGACGTCACGATTATCAAAAAAAATGAAGTAATAAACGTGCATTATTTTACGAGTATGTATTTTATGTAACATCACAGATAACCAGTATATTAAAGACATGCCCTTGAGTACATTTGTCTGTAACATGTTTCATTTATTTCAGGACGAGAACAAGACAAGTAGTGTAGGACTGATTATCAATGATAACTTCACAGTTAAAGATAAAACACATCTTGCACGGGAAACAGATGATGGCCACTATCTGGAACGTATAGGATTGATTATTAATGATAACTTTACAGTTGTAGTCTTACATTTGAAACTAGTGATCGCGACTATCTGTCGTGTAGGATTAATTATCAATGATAACTTTAAAGTTTAAGATAAAACACATCTTACACGGGGAACAGATGATGGCGTTTGTCTGTAACTTGTAGGATTGATTATCAATGATAACTTTAAAGTCTAAGATAAAACACATCTTGCACGTGAAACAGATGATGGCGTTTGTCTGTAACTTGTAGGATTGATTATCAATGATAACTTTAAAGTTTAAGATAAAACACATTTTGCACGTGAAACAGATGAAAGCGTCTGTCTGGAACATGTAGGACTGATTATCAATGATAACTTTAAAGTTTAAGATAAAACACATCTTGCACGGGGAACAGATGATGGCGTTTGTCTGTAACTTGTAGGATTGATTATCAATGATAGCTTTAAAGTCTAAGATAAAACACATCTTGCACGATAATTGAACACACTATGACTGGAATAAGTATTAGATTATATTATGTAGCAGTAATCTACGAACAACTGGTTATACACAGTGCTTGCTTGTTGACAGCAATTGTCACTTTGACTTGGGGTTTAAAATATCATCTCCTTTTTTGGAATGATGGCTGACTATCTGTCTTTTTTTTATATGTCTATGACGCGAGAATTGTTATTATTCATATAAATTTCATTTTTGTGTTCTTTCTTTTTATTATAACTTTCATTTAAACATTTTTTTTGTGTTGTGTCTGGTTTATAACTTTCATTTAAATTTTATTTTGCGTTATATCTTTGTTATAACAGGTTAACTATTCCATTTTGATGTGTTGTTTTTGTTAACGTGTTTATTGTGTTCTTTAATGTATTATTTATTGTTATTATTCCATTGAACTTATTCTAATACGTCATTTAACTTCATCATTTTTACATAACATTATACTAAGTCTTGATACATTAAAAAAGGATACAAATGCAGGTTGAAATAAAGATTCACAATTATTCTTGAGCTTCTGTAACTTACTACATACTATCATGACATAATGACATCTGTTATGTCATGTAATACATTTGTTGATGTTACCAGGCGTATTTATCACGCCACTCTGTTGCGTGAAAAATAAACAACAGAAACTAAACAAAAGCCAACATTATTGAAACTCGTAGACACATTCAAATCATGCAATACCTGATTAAAAGTCTGCAATAAACTGAATAAACCTTTGATCATGATTTCTAGGAATAAAAGGAGTTAAAGATTGCTTGTCTTTTTCCGTCTTTTTTCATTAATTATAAATTTATTATTATTATTACACTTAGTCTATATAAACTGATTTAAAAAGCCCTGACTTGCTTTATCTTTGATAAATAAATATTTGTTATGGCTAAAAGATATCAAACTTCTGTTTGTTTTTTCTTAATAAATCTTTTTAATTTAGGGTACGTATTTGTGCAACGACATATGTGAACGTATGTAAACGTGAGGATGTGAACGTATGTAAACGTGAGGACTCTTTTGATCACATATAAATATCATATATAATTTATAACCATCCTTTTCAAAATGTAAATAGCAAACTACCCAATGAAGTAACTCGGCATAAATTTGTTAAACACAGCGTGTTTATATGTTAAGCAATGACAAGGATAAAATAAAACAGCTTTCTTGACATTTTTTAATATTAGATATTAACATTGAGTATAATAGAGCCTGGTCGGAGTGCACGGGCTTTTCATACTGATCTGGCTATGTACTGGTAGCAAAGGCTAATCACTGTTGGGTCAACAAGGTTAAGAGTTAAAGTTTGTAATGATCCGTTTGAAGAATGTATAACAATAGGAGAAATAAGCACACCAATTGTTGAATAGCTTAAAGCTGCACGCCTCCAGATAAGCCAAATATTTCAAGACAATCAATATTGAGAAACATGAACTAACATTTTAAGAAAGGTAAAAACATTCAAGATCCAAGTTATATTTTACATGTTAAGTGCGGTTCAAGACTGATTTTGCAGTATTTTGTTACCATACTTCTACTGCGTTAGTAATGCAGTGAGTGCTGTTTTTTGCATATGTTGACGACTTTTTGGAAATTTTCTTAGATTGCAAGTGTCGATTGCAATATGTTATTTACTTTACTTGTTCAACTCACAATATTTTGCTATGAAAATACATTCCAAATTTTTCATGAAAATAAACATGAAATCTGGAGGCGTGCTGCTTTAAATGAATTTAATTAAGAAAACTGTCTAAAACATTTTGTGAAGCAAAACCGTTTCAATGTCACAATCTTAATTACAATCATTCGTCTCAAAACCATCGCACAACATTTTATAACTCTCATTTAATAAAAAAGCATATCGTTTTCTTTCGAAAACCTAACGAAGAGCCATATATGACATTTGCGCTGACAATATATGAGCCGTGCCATGACAAAACCAACATAGTGCGTTTGCGACCAGCATGGGTCCAGACCAGCCTGCGCATCCGCGCACTCTTCAGGATCCATGCTGTTCGCTATCAGTTTCTCTACTTGTTATAGATTTTGGTAAGCGAACAGCATGGATCCTGATCAGACTGCGCGAATACGCAGGCTGGTCTGGATCCATGCTAGTCGCAAACGCACTATGTTGGTTTTGTCGTGACGCGGCTCATATACTTGTAATCAGTATGCAAATGACCGATTTATAATGTGTGGAACAGACTTGCTGTTAAATAAGAAATTATAGCAAAGTGTAGATTTTTTGCGCGAATTAAATACTAGTAAGTGTCATGTAAATTAAAAGAAAAAAAACAGTACGTAGAAATTGCCGAGTATCTACCCAAGCCATTTAGGTGACGTGAAGAGGGGAGACCACTCGTGAAGTATGTCATCTACCCGACAATAAAGGAGAGATCACTTCGTGAAAATTGTAATGACGTGCCTTTAATTACGTACCAACGTTTATGACGTCATTACGTTAACAACCAAATCATTTAGCGACGCCAATTTGACAAGATCTGCAGCTTAATTCAGCTGTCATCCTTTATTACTTGTAAGAAAAAATATAAGAATGGACACTGTATATCAGCCTTCATATATCTTTTCGCAGAACGGAACTCTGATGTAAGTTTATCTTTTCTTTATTTTTGCCGATCATCAAACAAATGGAGAAGTGATTTGAATTCCGATTGAAAATTAAATAGATCTATTCCTTTGTGAAAAAGTGAAGATGAATTATTGTAAAGTATTTTACTTATCAAAACTTATGTTGTTCACTTCAAATAGCTACAAATGATTAATGTAACTATCGTTAGTGATAAAAAGTGAATAAATATAGACAATTCACTTCAATTGTAACAATAAAATGTTCTTAAATATGATTGATTAATCATATTTTATTCAATTTTTTTGCAGAACCAATCGGTTTGTTGAGTTTCGGAAGCTGTGTGAATTATTTGCTGATGAAATTATAAAAGGACGAGATCCTTCAGCAATGATATTAACCAAGATCACAAAATTCCCGCCTCTTAGATGTAACAAATAATTACCATTATATAATTATAAGTTTATTTCTTTCTCTTTTTCATATACATGTATATTAATTTTTATATTATTTCATTTGTTTTTTAATAAGTTATTAAGCATTGATTTATCCACGCAAATTTGTGTTCATTCCTTTTTTTCAATATTGATTAATAAATCTGGAGTATATTCATGCATATGTACATTCTTTACTCGATATTGATAAATCTGGAGTACATTTATTCATGCGTACAGTCTTTTTTCAATATTGATATTTTCATACATATGTACTTTCTTTACTCAATATTGATTAATGAAATGGAATATATTCATGCAAGTGCGCATTGTAGGAGCACATTTGTCTCGGAGCACATTTGTCTCACGAAGTGTGACCGATGTGCTCGTAAACATTCATATTTGCGACAAATTGGATATGAGACAGATGTGTCCGACACACAATAGAAAGGACACTCGAAGCACATTTGTCTCACATTTTTCCATAAAATTCTTAAAAGGTAACAATTATGCCCATCTGTATACCGGCTACCAGCCATTGTTCTGTGTTTTCTGTATTTATAATACCGTTTTAGGTCACTTCCGGTCAGTCAAAAACTTCCTGCCTCTGCATAGGAGTCATATATTTAATTAAAGAATATCCCTGTTCTGCATGTCACAATGAAAATTTCTACAAGTGCAGCACACATATGCAGCAAGTCTTTTCTTATCTTTATTAATTGTGATACGTTTATTTTCAATGCTTAAAGTTTTATAAATGATTAATGGCACTAGAAATATTATTAGCAACAACAAGGTAGTATCTACGGTGGCATAAAGGGGACCTAATGATTTTCTTATCTATAACCTGCGCACACGATAGCTATTACGTGGCCACGCGATACTATTACGTGTGCACGCGAAAAATATTATGTTTTAAAGGGATAGTTTTTGTTTGCGCACGCGATAACTATTTCGTGCGTTCGCGGATAGGTATTCCGCATTTGGACCCTGACCGGGATCCTCGCATGAATAGTTCGACGCCCCGTGTATGTGTCGAACCTACAGCGGTAAGGGGCAAGTGGTTTTTGAAATCAGTCGGCTACGGAGGCTCTTAAATGATCTATGGAAGAAAATTAGAAGACCATTACACATGTATTTTTTTTTTCATCAGAAATATATGTATAAAACAATCGTCATTTTCCAAGAATTGCGGCTTTCAGATCCGCCATTGAAAAAGCATTTACAACATGCACGAGTTCCTAAAATAATCCGGGATAATAATTATTGAATATCGGGCCACTCAGAATCGGGCGATACGCGACATTCCGATGAGACATGAAGCGAGGCACGATATTGTAACACGACATCTCGCAATGTCGAAGTATCCCGTACCACGAGATTTCAGAAATGAATAATAATAATAATAATAATAATAATAATAATAATATCTTTATTTAAAGAAGGTTACACATTAAGAACATACAATAGCAATCATATATATCTTATTTCCAATGTGGCCTTCTGAAATAGAAAACAACAACAACAACAACAGGACATGCATAGGTAGCAAAATGAATGTATAATATGTAATTTTTAGCATAAAACAACTCATATACTTTCGACAGACACTCAACAATTTGTTTAAACATATACGTATATTGCATCATTTGTTCGTTCGTTCATTCGTTTGTACATTTATTCATTCATTCATTCACTCATTCATATGAACATCAAGATATGATTTGTATTTTTTAAAAAACATTTGAGGTTATTAACATTACGAATATTTAAAGGTATATTGTTCCAAATGTTCATGCCATAATAAGAAAATGTGTCTTTAATATAATTTGTTTTAGGTCCTGTCCATAATACAATATATTTTCGTGACCTAGATCTTAAGTTATATATTTTGTTGTCGGATAAAGTCATCAGTTCTGTCATATAAGTCGGTGCCATGTTATTTAAAGTTTTAAAACCAAGCACTGCCGTGTGGTATTTACATCTGTCAGGGAACGGGAACCAGTTAAGAGCTTCGAATAGCTTCATTGACGGAGATCTTTGTGGTTGCTGTAAAATGATTTTAGCAATTCGTTTTTGTAAATTACAAAAATTATTTATGTAGTTTGTGTTTCCTTTACCCCATATAATACAACAATAGTCTATAATAGGCAATATACATGTATATGCATTGTAAAACAATAATTTCATATCAAAGTGAAAAAAACACGATATTTTTTTCAATAAGGCAATTTTTCCGTTAAGTTTTTTTACAAACATTGTCAATTTGCAAGTGCCATTTTAAGTTGTTATCTATGCAAATACCCAGGACTTTTTGATCAGTTACATTTTCAAGAACTATTTCATTTATCTTAAGATACGATTTTCTCATAATATTTACTTTTTGTCTTGTTCCTATTACCATACATTTTGATTTATCTGGATTTAAGGCCATATTATTTATTTTGCACCATTTCTTAATGTTATTTAAATGATCTTGAGGTTTTTCTTTTACTTTTGATATATTTTCTCCGGACTCATAAAGAGTAGAATCGTCTGCGTATAAATCAATTTTTATATCATTACCAATGAAAGCTATGTCATTTATGTATATTAGAATTATTAGAATAAATTTATACTTCTTTAGATATGGTAAGTGTGAATTTATAAATATTCAAATAATGATTTCTGAGGAAGTTAGATGCTTGTAACTTTTTGGAGCTATAAAAGTATACCAAAATAACTACAAATAAAATAATTTCTTAGGCATAATGGACCTTTAAGTGATTTTACAGTAACAAATGTGACGCTAGAATTGTTTCTTAGAATAAACATGACCCCTACTTTTCTCATAATTTTATATCAGTTTTATCAGTTTGATCATAAACTCTTTAAAATGAGATAGGTATTTGTTCTCTAAAACGGGTCTAGCTATGTTTTGTAGCTCTTTGAAAAATGTCAGTTTTAGGTAGACTATAAAGGGAATACTATTTAGCGGTAAATGACCTGGAATAAATTTTTTCTTGTCTCGCGTCGACGAACGAGATGCGAAGCGAGACACGAGATTTCGGCGAGTTGCAAAACAAGTCACGATATTGTATCATTCAATATCAACCGATTACGTTGTTCCATTTGGACATAAGTAACATTTTTGTCTCCCTGAACAGCTATGCACGATGGTACGATGATTCATTGAGATGGTACGATGATTAAGACACGATGACATGATGGTGAAATTACGATGATGCGATGACACGATAGAGAAAATAATATCGCGTTTTCATCATCATGTCATCGCAGTTTCATCATATCGTACCATCGTACTTTCACCATCGTAACATCGTCTTTCACCATAGTACCATCACGTTTTCATCATCGAGCCTTCGTTGTTTCGCCATCGTACAATCGTTGTTTCACAAACGTACAATCGTTGTTTCACTTCCGCACCATTGTGTTTTCACCATTGCACCATCGCGTTTTCATCAACGTACCATCGTGTCATCGCACTGTCACCATTGTACCATCGTGAACGGGATTTGGTATGTTTCATTGTACGCCTTCAGGTTAAGCCAATAAATTCCTTGAATTAGAGATATTAGAATTAATAGTTCCACTTTAGGTTTTCATAAAGAAAGCATTAGCAAATCTATTGATGATTACACTTGACATGAGGTTAAACGGCGAACCTCGATTCTAAAAAAGAATTTCTGCCGTGGGAAAATATGTGATAAATAATTCATATCAAATGACGTGAGACAAATGTGCTTTCTTGTCCCTTAAAATCACATGAGACAAATGTGCTTTCTTGTCCCTTAAAAAACTTGATCGGAGCACATTTGTCACACACATGTGTTTTTCTGGGTAGACATTTGAGGTCCCATTTGTCTCACGTGGGACAAATGCGACCTCATCGGTCTTAGGTAAGGCAAATGTGGTCCGAGACAAATGTGCTCCTACAGCGCATTCTTTTTTCAATATTGATTTATTGATCTAGAGTTTATTCTTGTATGCATACTTTCTTTATCAAATGTTGATTAATCTAGAGTATATCCGTGTATGTGTATTTTTCTTTTTTAATTAATATTGATTAATCGAGGGTATATTCGTAAATGGTTTCTTTATTAAATATTGATTAATACAGAATGTATTCGTGTATACTTTCTAAAGTAAATATATCTGTTCCTGTACACACTTTTTTTATTCAGTTTTGATAAATCCAATGTATATTTGGATCTGTCGAGAATATTTATGTACACTTTCTTTACTCAATATGTGTGTAAGTTTCTGTCTGTGTTGTCAAATCAAATATTTCTCTAAAATTTACTTTGTGACAAAATGTGTGTAAGCAATTATGTTAAGTTCAAATGTCTAAATATATTTCCGTTCAATTAGTTTTATAGACATACTAATATTGTTAAATTAAAAACTACTTAGGTTTCATTCTATTGCATATTTCTATGCAATCATTAAAGGCACATTATGCCTTAGAAATCAATGTTAATTAAATTCTTTGGAAGTGTCAAACATGTGTTAAATCATGTTTTGATAATAGATTTAAAGCATGTTAGATGTTTAACTGCTGAAGAAATTATCTCTGAATGTGCAGTTATGTGTCATACACATAGCAAAATGTAAACAAAGTAGTATTTTGACTTTCTCATAAAAACTAATTCATAATAATTATACCAATTGCCAACAAAGCAAAAAATGCAAAGATAGTTAATCTATAGGGCAAATGTTGCATCCTTTTATTACCCCTCATGTACAGACTCAATCAAACCGAGTCTGCAATTTTCATGTAATTTTGCTGTTTTAATGCTTCCGGGGGATCACTTTTTACCAGATATTTTTTTGAAACTGTGAGAAGATATCAAAAATTTAAAACAAAGTTTTTTAGAAAAAAAAATGATAGCATTTTAAGCCATAAAGGGCCTGTATGATAAAGATAATGCGCATAGTGAAATGTACAAAGTTTCAAACCATATTCGTTAACAGTAAAAGATCGGAAGGAAACTTTTTCGTAACTTGTGAATTATGTTTCAGATGTTCCTCTGTTGAACGAGGCTTTTGATCTACTGAAAGATTCTGCGTTTGAATATTATATATCTCGTGAGAAGGGTAATTTAGATTATTGGCCTGAAGATGACCCACAAAATGACGAAGGTGATTCAAAGAGTTCAAGCCCTTCAACTGATAGGTTGAGAAGAACAAGACAGACATATAATACTTAAGTTATTAAAAAGCTTCATACACGTAATACCGTATTTTTTGACCGCTGAGGTCAATGTTATTAGCTGTTAAACATTAAAATTGAAATTCTTACATAGAGGAAGTGATGCACTAAAATAGGTATTTCTGCAAAGGATAAAAAAAGAAATATACTCTGAATCAACTTGAATATCGATTTTCTAAGATATACTTAGCCCGACTGAGCGTTGCAACGCTTTTCATTTTTGGGTCATTTTGCACAATAAAACTTTTTTTCTTGAAAAGAAAAAACGGGATTACGAATTGATATGAAAATTTGCACATAATGTATTGGTCTAGACCTACATCGAATGATACACATATCTTGAGAAATTTTTTTCAATCACCTCGTGTGTGTCAGAAAACCCCTCTAAATTTAACATATCACTGTTTTAATTTTTATTTTATAGTAAATCAATTAAACTGTTTGAGTTCATGCAACAAGTAAGAAAATATGATAATTAATGTTTTGGTACTAGCTAGTCTCGGTCTTTATTTTATATAGGTTTTTACCAAAAGAAGAAACGGCTGCATGTAAGAAATTGCTAAGGAAATTATCACAAGTATGCCATAAACACCAGCAAGCACTTGAATCCTTACAGGAAGCTATTACGGTAAGTTTTAGTTTTAATATTTGTAACACAAAAAAATGCTGACTATTCTTACAAATTGTATAGCTAAAATCTACTTTATAAACTGTTATAAAGTTAAGCTGTATCAACTTAAATGATGCCACGTTAATCATTAGTTGTTTTTTATTTCATTCAAAGAGTTTACAACTTCTTGTATATATCATTTCTGTCAAATTTCTTCCGGAAGTTTCAAGAGCTCTTCATAAAGATATTGATCTACAAAAATCAATTCATCAAACCATTTTCTAATATTATCAAACTTATAATACCCATCATTATGAGCATTTCAACATTAAAGTGACGGATGAGTCAGTCGGACTGTAACACATTCTAAAGATGGAACATCTTTTTCATAAAAGTATATATATATAAAAACAATATATAACAAGTTTATTGAATTTGAATTTTATTTATAAACTCTTAAATGATAAGGAATACAAAGAACTGGACAGGAAATGTTTGGATGCATACACACAGATGAATATTGCATCTGACAACTTCAACGAATACGCTACTGCCGATGTTGATGACCGAAATGAATTCAAAGAGGCCAGCTTTGAAGCCCACAATGATTACATACAACGAACGAAAGAATACATCATGTACAAAGAAAAGTCTAATTAAGGTGGCCTTTGAGAAGATCTACCCCAGGTATAAAACAGAGAAACAAATCAGTGAGGAACGTCTGAATAAGGTACGATCCTATCTTTTAAATACAAGACAAAGTCTTACATCCCTCAAGGCCCCGTCCGACAACTACCAGTGCATGCGCAGAACGTTAAGACTTACGATTCTCACGGGTCTGACAAAATTCACGCCACACCGGAAATAAATATTATACAAGATATTTGATTATCTATACAAACTGAAGGTTGATCATTGTAAAACAAATTTAGAGATGTTTCTAAGTGGTCAATGGTCCATGATTTTCTTCTACATGATATTTCTATAAAACAGATACACTAAGAAGAGTGTCATTGGTTAAATGATAATTACCATGATTATTAAACAGTGGTCTTTATATATTGACAATGCAGTTACCTAGATAAAAAAAACTTAGCTAAGTGGTTGGATTCACTGTGTACTTTGATTGTACTTTTGCCATTGTTTTATATTTTTATCGAGTATTATCTGATATTATGTTGTAACAGTTGGACAAGGATTTGAAAATCATCATAGAGACAGAGATGAGGGAAACACTGACAGAGGGAATGAAAACATTGATGAAGATAGCTACAGCATGCCGATTCTCTCCGTAAGTTTACATTAATTTTGCATTTTTTTCTCTTAATACTTAGTAATAATCATCTCGCCGTCCGTTTGTCTGTTTCATGCATATGTTCTGTAAATTATAGTGTTTTTGTTTGATTGTTGTTGTTTGTGTTTTTTGTATTTTTAAAAAAGCTCCAAGTTTTATTTCTTTATTTATTATCAAATAGTAAGTGTATGAAACACAGTTATGTAAAGTAATATTTCAATTTGTGTCATCCATTTTCCAAGCTTTGACTTTGGAGCAGTATCACACCGTCTGTTTGTCGGTGTGACTGTTCAATGCATATGTACAAATGTTCTGTAAGTTATAGTTTTTTTGTTTGTTTGATTCTTTCTTTCTTTTGCTATCCTTTGTCATTAACCTGCTGAATTTGTGTAGTGGATTTTCGCAGCTTTGAATTTGGAACAGTCCATTCCAAGTTTAAGGGAATTTGATATAATATAAAATTTGAGCTACCAACAATATAGAGCCTGGTCAGACTGCATGGTTGTTTAGACTAATCTAGCTGTATACTGGAGGGGTGGGGGTGGGGCAAAGGATAATCAGTTAATCACATTCGGTTCCAGCAGGTTTCATGTTTAAAAAGCATACGTTTTGTTCTGCTTCAGAGATGTTATAGATAGAATTGAAAGCTTTGATTGTGCCATCACTGCTGAAAAGCTTTACAAAGATGTTTGCCTGAAGTATTGTCATCCTGCCGTTAATGAGGTCAGATTCTTGCTATTATCACTTATATATATATATATATGCTACCCAATTACCTTTATTACTAGTTTACAAAGTACTTGTGTGATTTTATCTGTTCATGTTTATATATCAAGTATAACTAAAAACACAGGAACATGATATAAGTATTTAGTGTAATGTTTTTAAAGATACGTGTACATACAATATTATAATTATTGTTTATTAAAATATTAAGCATAAGTTCTTTTATTAAGTGAAGTATCCATGTTAAAACATTGTCACTTAAACTATTCATAAAAGCGTATATATATTTTGTGTTCAATGTAAATTTCTTTTCTTTTAAATAGAAGCATCTTGGTTATGCACTTGGAAACAGTTTCTACATTCATCTATATTTTTATGTCATGGATAAAGATGAACGAAGATTTCGGCAGCACGAGAGTTGTATATCTTTACTAGATGGAGAAGCGAAATGTAAGTATTTTCATTAATAATTTGAAGTTTGAATCTTTCGCCTGCCGTTGAAATGATGGTTTTGTCAATTTTTTTTGATACATTGTATGAATGGACTTGATTAATCTTCTATTTGATGTAAGTCTAGACCTATACCTTGAGAACAAAATTTCAATTACTTTGAGCACTCCTTTTTTACCAGAATTATTATTCTAATTATGAAAAATGACCATAAACTGAAAAGCGTTGCAACGCTTTTACTCAAATTGGACTAAGAATGGCACACAATACGTTTTCAATTTCTTTCTGGCAATAGTTCTTACTTACCTTTAAAAAGATGCCCTTTATATTTTCAGTATTTAGATGAGAGGAGCTCTGTGTATGGGCAAATTCCACTTTAGATGTTAAAGGGTAAGATTGTATGCTCAAATTAAAACAAGGTGATACAAATCACGGTATATGCGGATAATCATACTCAATATGCGTCACTTTTTTCATCTTTATAAAAGCACAATTTATAAAGAAATATGGATTCCCTTAATATTGTAATTGCTGTTCAGAATTAGAATTCAGAAAATGAGCCGTATTGTTAAATACTGTGTAAGATATTTACAAATTGTAGTTTTTGTTTTAAAAATCGTTTTTTTTGTTATAAACATGAAAGATAAATTGTATTATAGATATACATTGTAATCTATTGTTTAAATATTTTTTTCTTCTTCTTTAGATATTAACATTAAACAGAAGTTTTGTTCTGCTGATGGCAGCCTTGCATTTGGTTGGACAAGAAAGTTTGGATGCGGGAACAAGCATTATGGATTCTATTCTACGAATGCCGATGAAAATTCAATTCATATTTTATTTATAAAAATCTGCAAATATTAAATGAATATTTATTTTGAAGCACATTCAGGGTTATTTTCTTTTTATTTCTCTCGGCGTATCTATATAATTATATTAACACAATTTTGGTTTAACTATTTAAAATTGCTTAAATTGTCTTAGCTTTGTTATTTATTTATCGATTGGAAGAATTTGAACAAAAAATCGGGATGTGAAATAACTCAAATATGACCTTGACATTTAATTGATATTGAATGACAATGTCAAATCATTTAAATTTGCTCGTCATAACTTTATTATTTATTTACCGATTGGATTTAGTTTTGGACAAAATAACACTTATGACAAAACCGATATGTTAAATTATTCTAATATGGCATTAGCCTTATGTTACTCGGGATGTTAAATAACTTTGATATGACCTTGACCTTTAATTGACATTGAATGTCAAGGTCAAATCATTTAAATTTGCTTTGGTTGTTATAACTTCATTATTTATTTACGGATTTGATATTTACTTGGACAAAAGAACACATATGGCAAACAGACATGTTGATTTATTCAAATATGACATTGGTCTTAAAGGGTATAAATCTATATCTTATGAAATATTTCTATAAAATTTATCAACAATAAAATAATATTGGTTCCTTTTTTATATGGTGGATTTCCGAAAAAGTTGTGACACAGAATGTCTCTTTTATTAAATATATTTGCTTGCTATAGCACCATATTACATTGGTAAAATTAAATAATAAGAGGATATTTTTTCGTTTGAGTAAAATATGAAATATATTTTCACTCAACATGATAAAATGCCACATATTTTCACGAGCCGGGACGGCGAGTGAAAATATGTGGCATTTTATCATGTTGAGTGAAAATATATAGCATATTTCTCGAAAAACGAAAAAAATAACCTTTTTATTTAATTTCATTATCAAAGAAAAATGATTATGAACCCCTTGCTTGCTACGCAACTGCAATTGTACAGCGGGCATTGCCTAGTTTTGCACGCGATATTTAGCGCTACATTGTGACGTCACGTAAACAACTCTTTTAAACCTCTGTACAGCATTAATGACATGATAAAAGATATTGGTGTTCGGATTTATTAGACGCCGGTAGAAACCGGCGACTATATTTGTAACAGTTTAATATTATATCTATGGTAGGAGAAGGCCTTAAAATCTGAATATAAAAGCAAATCAATTACTGAACAATTAAGGACCACAATTATTTTTCATAATCTTAAAAATTCAAAAACAAAGTAACGTTGCTAAATGAAATGAAATATACAAATATTGACATCTTAAAAAGCAACATTACAATTTTCATAAAATGAATTAATAGCGTATCCCTATGGACCAGTCGTTGAATTTAGGGATACTTTTACTTTTTTTCTACCGGCGACTATATTTGTAACAGTTTAATATTATATCTAAGGTAGAAGAAGGCCTTAAAATCTGAATATAAAAGCAAATCAATTACTGAACAATTAAGGACCACAATTATTTTTCATAATCTTAAAAATTCAAAAACAAAGTAACGTTGCTAAATGAAATGAAATATACAAATATTGACATCTTAAAAAGCAACATTACAATTTTCATAAAATGAATTAATAACGTATCCCTATGGACCAGTCGTTGAATTTAGGGATGCTTTTACTTTTTTTCTTAGTGTCATGCGAGGCTATTTTATGATTGATAAATCATGAATGATATTTGAAATGACACATTTAAATTATTTGGTTGTTTATATCTTATGAGACCTATTATATTTCATTATTTTATCTAATTTTTAACAGATTCTCCCTGTAGAATCACGTATGTTATTGTTATAAAATCTATTATTAGTAACAGATTGCTGATAAGACATACAAGTAACTTGTGAATAGTTGAAAAGGCATGGCGGCTGATTAGATGTAAATGTATAAATAATTATTACAAAGTTATCTTTCATTAATCAGTTTCATATTTTATATCATTAGAAAGGTCTGTATGCTCATAATTTACACATTCAAGAATAAGTTTTCAAAACCTTTTTGTTTTTTCTTGGTAAAGGGTTAAACTTTCTGAAAATCAAAGAAATCATCATTGAAACATACTTGAATAATTATCATATAATTCCTAATATATTTAAATAAATTCCTATTTAATATTTAACATACCGTTATCAGTTCCAAAGAGTATGTCACATGGTGTTTAGGAGTCAATCAAATAAATACGTTATGTTTAATTGCAAATCACAAGAGTTGAAATATTATGAAAGGAAACATTTTAGGAGTGAGAGGAATGATGATTTTATTTGTTTCCATATGGACATATTGAATTTGAAAGCAACGGGACACAGCCTACGGTGCATCCATAAGCGTAATATGTTCAACCAAGACGTCCTGTTTGTGTACAGTATACTCTGAAGTCACATATATACATGCGCGTGTATGACAAGAGAATGCAAACAGCATATCGGAAATAGGAAGTACATGTTTGTCGTTTCTCCACAACGTCACTCTGTCTTTGTACCTCTACAATGGAATACACAAGTTTATCGTTAACGCAATTTTCTGTCAGTCGCAAATAAAAATAATTAACAGTCTAGACGTAGGTATGATGTTGTTGAATTTAGGTGCCTTATAAATTTCTAATGATTTTACTTATATATCACATTTAATGGCTCGAAGAAAATCTATATGATCTTGTGTTTAATGAAATAAGTAAACAATATAGACATAGGTATGATGTTGATAAATTTAGGTGCCTTATCAATTTCTAATGATTTTACTTATAAATCACATTTAATGGCTCGAAGAAAATCTATATGATCTTGTGTTTAATGAAATAAGTAAACATTCTAGACATAGGTACATGTATGATGTTGATGAATTTAGGTGCCTTATCAATTTCTAATGATTTTACTTATAAATCACATTTAACTGCTCGAAGAAAATCTATAATTCGAGGATTCAAAGGTAAAAGGTAATAACTGCCATTTTCTAGATTTCGAGAAAAACGCAAAAAACATATAATTTAATACAACTTTATTTTCCGTAATATTTTTATAACAATTTTGATTCTCTCATATTTATTGACTACATTAGATCATATTTTGTTAAGTTTACCTTGCTTGGTGCTGATAAAACACTGTAATTATAGTTTGTTTTAAAGTTCTAAAATCAAAATAATATCATTTTACAGAAGTAAAAGGTAATAAATGTACTTAGATCCTGTCAAGACAATAAGGTTGGGAGGTAAAAGGTAATAACTGCACTTACGACCTTTTACTTCAGAAGGTTTAGCAATAAAAGTTCCAGATAAATTGTTATAAAATGTAATAAGTGCAGTTATAGCCTTGTTCCTCTGAAAAGAATTTAGATGTTGCAGTTATTGTTACTGTTGCCAATTTATTTATTATGTCCTTACTTTGAAGAACCGTACGTAATGTAATTAACACACATGCACAATAATACTCGTACACAAAACTGACAATTTTCATTCATAGAAATATGAAATATGTACCTGCTCAATATTTAGATTCTACAGAAATAAATTGATAACTAAAAAGTTATAAAATAAGTACTAAAATCTTTGTTTACAAATTTTCATTTATTTTGAATGTTCTCTGGTATATAATCGAACTGAAGTCAAACAGACCCCAGACATCAGCAATTAAGGATATTAGTGACCGATATCATAGTTAAGTAAATAAAGACTACTGTTGCATGTCACAAAATGCGAATGTTTGTCATTAATTATTCCATGACCTTCACTCATCTTCTTCAATCTCACTAACAGGAGGCATTGAAAGTTTGTCTTTTATAGATTTGATGCATGGCAATGACTCATAATATGATTCGTACTTGTCGGAATTGTCCCAGAGGCAACAAGTGACATCAAATCAGTCTTTTTGCAGCAGACATTGGAAGCTTCTCTGTATAAGCCTTGCGTGGAGCCTTAAAAGTTTTTTTTGCTTCTGCTCTTCTTCTGCATTAACCTTAATTCCTTGAACTCACTTACATCAAAACCATAGTTCACAAAGATACTGTATTCTTTGTCTTTACGAACTTGAATCAATTTTATATTCAGCCAATTAACTGGTTCTCCATCAACATCGATTTTTATTGAGCCAAAGTTTTGTTCTTTGTACAACTTGTAATTTAGTATGTCAGTGTATTTTATTGGAACGACAATATATAGTTGCTTCCGGCGTGCTAATGATATAACTGTTTCCCACTGAGATGGAACATTTACTTTTGTGAGACTTTTTGCATGCTCGATAGATGCATGTATGGAATCACATTCCATTTCTGAATGGCCACTTTCTTGGACACAGTGAACTAAGCAACTTGCAACAAACTGATTGCGATTCTGTCCCCCACATGTATCACTATAATTATAATGTCACTTCTTCAATACCAGATGTCTTACTTGCAACAGAAGTTACATACAAGTACACACAAGTTCCTACTTCGCACGACCCTCGTTTCCCCTGTGTCTCATCCCACAGCTAACAAGTCCCCTTACCATTTCCCAGTTCATAGAATCACAAATTGTAACAACACAGTTTTCTTTTGTAATAAAATTCACCATTTAAACTACATGGTGTTGTCAATATAGCCTGGAGATCAAATGCCGACACAGACAACTTTGGATCTTTCTTTGCGCGTTCTTTATAAGCTGATTTTTCCATCCTAGCATTGTTTTTTTTTTCTTTCTTGGTGTGCCTGATATTTTGCTTTTGTTGCCCTTTTAGAAAAACGTCTTTGTACACTCTTACCATTTTGCCACCAACTGTGAAGAAAAACGAATTCGAAATAGTTCTTTGTTTTGTTCTCTGTTTAGATACCTTCTCTGGTTCTTTATTGGCAACATGGAAACAAATAAATTGCCTTTGACTTTTGTAATCACCCATTGACCAGTATGTACTGAATATTTTCTGTCTTTCATCTTCGGTTATATTCTTGCTGCATTTAAATCTACACTTAGAGCAATCCTTTCTCTTTAGGCTTCTTGCTTTCATTGATTTTCCTGTTTTACTTGTATACTCCTGTCCTTTTGATCGACGATCTTTTCTAATATTGGCTTTCCACAAAAGTCTGCTGACTCTTCGTTTACGACTCAAACACTTACGTTTTGGGCTTATATATGATGCATCTTTGTGAGGCGTTACCTTCAGTGGAGACCCTTTTCGTTTTCGTTGCTTTGATGGCGTTCTTTTATTCTCTGGGGGTTCTGCGGTTTGCTGTGTTTCACAAGCTTGATCAGCAATCTCTTCCCTGTCATCTGTGGCATTTAAGTTTGTTGCTACAGTATCATAGTGATATTTGTCGTGTATTGCAACACGTGCCACTAAAATTGGTGGCAAATCTTACTCAGTGTTGATGTGTGGTTTAATTTCTACAATCGGTTGGGTTGGCCGGCTAGAAAATATCCGAAGTCGTCGTTGAAATAAATTAGCAATGCAGAGCGGAGCAAAGTCTGCCATGTATGTATTGCATCTACCGTCAAACCTTATTTCTTCTATCAATGCCATAAATTTGTCCAATTCTTCTTCTGGTGTAAGATTATCTTCAAATGTTACAAATTTTATGTATTCTGCGCATTTTCATGTATGTGTTTGGCAACGTTCTGTCGCAAATCTTGCACAGACACGGGGTTGTCCAAAAATTTAAGGACAGCTCTAAGCAAAGAATTTCCGTCTGCCAGTATTTTCTTTCGCTTCAACATGTTGCTGGCAAGAATCTTGTCAAGACGCTTAGTATGATAATCATAGATTTGCTTTTGTCCAATTGCTTCTCTTCTGCTTTTTGTTTTTGCTTTCGCAACTGCTGAGTCTTCATCTGTTGTAGAATAATAGTCGCTATCAGACATTGTGTCTAGTTGTCTATCATCTACTCTGTAATTTATCTTTTGGCATTTCAACTGTTTGCCTCTTTTTATGTGTTTGCCTCGACGTTTCCAGCCTTTATCTCTGTTTGGAGTGTTAGTATTTTCAGGGGAGAACATTGGTGCATTATCAAAATCACTTTCAGTTCTTGGATTTCCAGTATAGTTACTGGAAATGTTTTCTTGGTCTTCAATGTAAATTATGCAATCAATGGTTTTGTCTGAATAGGCTGCATCCTGTTTTCTAATTCTTTGTATTAATTCTAATAAAGGTATATCATCCAGATCATCACAGTTTTCTTCTTCTGTGTAGCATGTGTCATTTCTAAGTTCTTCTGACCGTGTGTCTGTGTCATTTACTTTGCTATAGGTGTTTACCAGAGCTTTTACATACGCATTGTCATACTTGATTAATATTTCAATACCGTCATTATCAAACTGATCTGGGATGTAGTGAGGTACAGCTGTTTGCTTTTCTTGAGGAGAAACCAATGTTGTTTCCAACACACTTTCATAATTCATCTCATATTGGACTACTGCATCTATGCTATCGTAATCATTTTCCGAATGTGCAAAAACATTATATATTAACATAGATGAATGTATAACATGTAATATAATGTAATTATTAAAACTGTCCATTATATATATAAACATAATTATGTACCGTATAATAATTTTGATTCTATGTCAGGGCTCCCATTCAAATGTAACAGACAATACATAAGTATTATTTGATAGTAGAATTATATTAAGTGTAAAATTTCATAATGCATTTATCTTAAGTATTTTAAGTAACAAATACAAAATTGAGATTTGCATAACAGTTAATAAAAACATTTAATGTAATCACAGAGAAGCTATTAAACGAAAGTTTAATATTTGTGATTAAATGATTAAAAACAATACACAAATAGATGTAATTTATATTGAAAACAAAAAATACAAATATGAAATAAAATAGAAAGAATTAAATTTCACTTACCATGAATTTTTGCTGTAATACTTTCCACTGTAAAATTATTGTACTCTTCTTGTCCAAATGGCCAATACACAAGCAATTAAATGATTAAATGGCAAGGATTTCACACAGAATCTTTCTTATCTGATTCAGTGTTATAATTAATTTACTGAAAGGGATTCTCTCTGGCTAAGGTGATAAGTAAACAATTAGCGTGAGAAATTTCTTGGGAAAAGGGATAACAGATAGTGCCTGTGAACTGTATGAATGCAGTATGCCAGAGGAAAAAGGTGATAAAATCAGTTATAACCTTTTTCCAGTACAGATTCTTCACAACATGTGGAACAACAGGTAATAAGTACACTTAGAACCTTTTACCCCTACATTATTTGTAGAAAGGAGTTATTACAAAACACTTTTTAATGTTTTGCCCTTATAAGGATTGAATATTTCTATAATATTTTAGTCAGACAAAAAGGACAATGAGTACATTATAAAAAACATAAAAAGTCATTTTCGGCAAAAATGGTAGTTATTACCTTTAACCTTTGAACCCTCGAATATGATCGTTTAATTCGTTTGATTTAACAATGGGATACATAAATATAACTTTATGTTTAACATTTTGAAAGTGGTTTTACAACAATTACTTTTCATCCAATATATTTTCGTTCCCCTGCACATTCCTTCAACCTTTTCAGAAACCAGATATTGCGGAACCTCAGTATCTGTCCTTACCCACTCTTGCTTGTCAGCCTCGTTATCCTTTTTTTGGTGAATGTCAACCTGTAAGATAAAACAAGGTCATTTTTTTCAACTGAGTCATTACATTGTAGTTAATACGATTTTGAACATAATTAAGGATACAGATGTTTCGCTTATGAAACCATTATTTACACAGGAATATGTCGGACAATTTTCACAATGTTTTTGTCGGAACATAAAATCTCGTGGCCAGTTAATATACAGATATATAGTATACCTCTCCATTTGAATACTCGTTAGGGTCAAGACTTGGAGCTTCGGTCTCATTCATATGCTGTGCAATACATTCGCTTTGAGTATTACTCTCCCTATCAACAAATCGTGTAACAACTATGCCCTGAAATAATTGTATAAAAAACATTTTGTCCCAACTTGTATACGACTGTATAATAACAATTAGATACATGATTTAAGTCAAAAAACTGTTTCCCATTATATCCCATGGGCCATTTAATCAACCGTTAGTAAGTATGTAAAGGATGCTTTATAGAGAAACTCAGGCAAATTAATGACAAAAATATTAAAATGATCTTATGAACTCAAATCATACTAAAATTACATTTTTTTAAATCCTAGCATGAATTCTATATAGTTTGGTTTTGAAGTGTAAATATACATTTGTATCTATACGAGTATGTTTAACGCAATTAAGAAGCCGACAGAATTACAGAATAGTTTAAAATAAGTTTTGTGACTTGAACATACCCTGGAAGATACAATAACATGGATATTCTAAGTCATTCATTTGACATGTGTTTAACGTTTCCAAAGTTCACTGTGACAACTATAGTGAAATCTTAACGCTCTTACCTGACCCACGCGTGCAAGGTTAGAAAACAATCATTTTATACTTCATACTGAGACAAGATCTGTTCCTGTGACTACCTAGTGTATTCATTTTGAGGACATTTACAGAACAATGAAGGAAAAATTCAAAACGAAGAAATATAAATTTTGCCTGTGTCTCCCTTTATGAACCAGGTTTTCAACGAAAACCGGGTTATTGTAATGCCGAAGTCGGCGGAATTGGGTGGGCGTCAACTTTTGGTTTCCGCTCAATAACTTTAGTTTGCTTTGGCCTATTGACACCAAACTTGTTGTGTAGGTAGCTTATATCAAGAGGCATCTTGAGATTGCTACCCAGGTGACTGTAATCAAGGTCAAGGTCACTGTTACTTAAAATAGAAATCTAGTTTCCGTTGAATAACTTGAGCTTGCTTTGGCCTATTGACACCAAACGTGGTGTATGGATAGCTTATATCAAGAGGCAGCTTTGGATTGCTACCCAGGTGTCTGTGATCAAGGTTAATGTATTCAGTTTTCACGTAATAACTGTGTGTTTGCCTTGACCTTTTGACAAAAAAAATTGCTGTGTGGCAGCTTTGGATTGCCACTTAGATATCTGGGAGCAAGGTCATTTGTTTACAATAGAATTTTCAGTTTCTACACAATAAATTCAGTGCACTTTGACATATTGATTGCTGTCACATCAAAACTTGGTCGTTGAAAACGTGGTTTTCGTCGCATTGCGGCGCTTCTCGTACCTACTTAGCAACATCTTCTTAAATGATCATAAAATACATTTTAATATAAAGTGTTTGAAGAGGGGGTCTTCTATAGATTTACATTCTTGTTTATGTGCAGGTCATCCACATGGTCAACTTACATGTTCGTAATCATAGATGACATCTGCCATATTAGAAATCCGCACGTCAACCTCTGTTTTTGTTACATTAATCTCCTCCTCAAATACGTCCCCTTCGTCAGATTTGAATGTTTGATGCACAACCTATGTAACATTAAATAAAATGTGCATTCTAAATGAAAGAATATATAACAAGCGATCCTATAATTCAACGGAATCACTGAAAAAAACAACATTTTTATATATAATTTGATCATAAAGCTCAGGATACGATCAGGCAGTCAAATGGTGAATATATTTCTTTAGGTACCACTGGTTGGTATATCAAGAGGAGGCATTTCAAAACTACATAAAGGAAATTACTGTGGAAAACAAAAGAAAAAAGTAAGTAATCAACTACCCCAACATTTACTAAATTTCAATCAAATAAAATAAAACAATATATTTTGTCCAAGGTTTGTACGTTTTACTAATCCTCTTATGTTTCACAAATTTATTTCTGTTATAAACAAAAAACAAAACAACATTATAAATAAAAGCAAATTAAACAAAAATAAACAAACAAAAAAAAACAAAGAAACAAATAAAAAAACGAAAAAAAAAGGTAAAAAGGGTAGTATAGCAAATATAATTAAAGGTGTTTTAGATATTTTAGTGTCAAAAAATTAAACTGGATTTGTTAAAAATAGATATATTGGAGAAAATACTAGATTATTATATGATATAATGAAATATACTGAAGATAATAATATACCTGGTTTAATTATGATGATCGATTTCGAAAAAGCCTTTGATACATTGTCTTTTAAATTTATAGAAAAATGTCTTTTACTGTTTAACTTTGGTCCTATGTTAAGGAAATGGATATCATTATTTTTATATAATACTGAAACTTGTTTATTCTAAATGGGTTTTTATCTACATTCTTCAAGGTTAAACGAGGCTGTAGGCAAGGTGATCCAATTTCACCGTATATGTTCATTTTATGTGTAGAAATATTAGCTATTAAAATAAAACAATGTAACGATATTAAAGGTATACAGTCATATAGATCGTGAAGAATACAAAATTACACAATTTGCAGATGATACATCACTATTGTTAGATGGTACTGAAAAATCATTAAATAATGCTCTAAAATTGGAATTTATTTTCAGAGATTTCTGGACTAAAAGTAAATTTTGATAAAACCAAAGTCATTTGGATAGGTTCCCTTAAGTGCAGTACTAGATCAATCAAGACAAAATGGAAACTTACATGGGGTGATACACAGTTTAAACTGCTAGGTTTGATATTTGATGTAGATTTAGACAAAATGATTGATTTGAATTTTTATGAAAAAAGGTAAGAAATAGTATAAGTCATTGAAAAAAAAGAATGTTGACACCAATAGGTAAAGTCACTGTTGTTAAGTCTATTTTACTTCCATTATTTACACATTGTTTAACAAGTTTACCAACTCCTAGTGGAGTATTTTTAAAGACCCTCAATGATATATTGTATGACTTTATATGGGGAGGCAAGGCAAAAATAAAGCAATCAGTATGACAAAGACATACAAAGAATGTGGTCTTAACGTGGTTGATATTTATAGTTATATACACTGTTTAAAGATAAAATGGCTTAAAAGGTATGTTAATAATAGTGAAGGAAAATGCTTTAACCTTATAAAATCACTGTTTAATATTGATAAAATTTTTGATACTGGAAAATTGTTCTGTGATTTGATTATTAATAAGATTAAGATTCTTAAGATTAAGATTAAGATTAAGCCTATATTGTACTTATTGATAAGCTTAATATAGATGATATCGAACAAGTGCTACATATGCCACTATTTTATAACCATAAATTGTTAACAGGAAGTAATATTTTTTATTATATCTTTATATGATCTTGGATAAGATTTGTAAAGGATATTTTAAATCAACATGGAGAACTTTTAGACTTAAGTTACAAAGAACAAATTACATGTAAACCAATTAATTTTATACAGTATCATAGTTTGAAATTGGCAATAAAATGATACACACAAAACCTTAATATTTGTATTCAAAATGACTTACTGTATGTTCAGTATCCTATTATAAGTTGTTACATCAAACCTATTATAGTTGTCAATAGCAACCATAAATATGTTTATGAAACCATGGTAACAACTATAGAGGTACCAAAATGCCAAGAAAAATGGATATCTACCTTTGGAGACATTTCCCTAAATTGGCAGTTTATATATGGTAATGTATTTAAATGTACTAAAGATTCATACTTACAATGGTTTCAGACAAGAATTATTCACGGAATATTGGCAACAAACTCTCTTTTATTTCAAATGAAAATAGTTAATACTAAAATGTTCACTTTTTTGTGAATGTCAAGAAGAAACACTGATACATTTATTTTGGGAATGCAAAAAGATTCAGCCAATATTTCAGTTTCTGAAAGATATAATATAATAACATAATATTCATACCTTTTTTAATTGTAAATCTTTTATTCTTGGCTGTGAATTAAATGACTATAGATATGATATTTTATTTTTAGAATTAAAAAGATATATATATTTATTATATACTTATAAATGAAATATTGAGAAATATTGATGAAATAAAATGCGTATTTTCATTTTCCGTATTTTCACTGTAAAAATTTATTTTTCACTGCAGTGAAACATATTTTCCGTATTTTCACTGGTGTCTTGTCGGACTACTTTCTTTTAAATTCTACCAGTACACAAAATTTAAGGGAAAGTTTTTCAAATTTTATCACAAAAAAGAGAAAAAAGTACACAATAAACAGAAAATTCAAGTTTTTTCTATAAATACATGATTTATTTTCATCTTGTGGCATGAAAATTACCATATTTCACTCGTGGCTACCGCCACTCATGAAATATTTATTTTCATACCACTCGATGAAAATATATCATGTATTTATAGAAAAAACTTGAATATCCTCTATTTATTTAATTTTACCCATGAAATATGGTGCTACATCAGTGAAATATATTTCATATTTTTAAAAAAAATAAATATGAAATATGAATATGGAAATTGGCGGAGTCAAAACTCATATTTTTTAAGGGACTTCTTCCGCCATTTTGTTTTAAAATTTGAAAAATACAAAACAACTTTTTGTTGAATTTTGCTTTGAAAACTATCTAGAATGATAGAAAATGGTCTAACTAAGAAAATAAATCCGAACACCAATATCTTTAATTCAATTATTAACGCTGTACAGAAGTTTAAACAATTGTTTACGTGACGTCACAATGAAGCGCCAAATAATGCGTGCAAAACCAGACGCAATAATATATTACTGCGCGCTGTACAATTGCAGTTGCGTAGCAAGCAATAGGGTTCGTAACCATTTTTCTTTAATAATGAAATTAAATAAAAAAGTTATTTTTTTCTTTTTCGTGAAATATGGTATATATTTTCACTCAACATGATAAAATGCCACATATTTTTACTCGCCGTCCCGGCTCGTGAAAATATGTGGCATTTTATCATGTTTCGTGAAGTATATTCCATATTTCACTCAAACGAAAAAATATCCTCTCAATATTTGTCTGAGCGAAAATAATTGTTACCTACTTGTACTGGTTTTAAAAATAGCTTGAAGTTAGCTTGGAATTGTTATAAAATATAAATTTGACAACAGAAGAAATCAATAGATGGGCAATTGTTAAATCTTTTAATTCGTAACTGAAATAACTACATCAAAATTTGGTTATTCCACTTATATAAAAGATAACAACTTCTATGCATCCTATATATTTCTCACACAATCGAACAAAGAAAATCCAATAGAATTTGCAAATAAATCTTATTAAAAAAAACCAATAAGGACCTACCTTGTATGCTTCTGTTGTAATTTTTGGTCCAAAATGGACAGACACAAGGACAATAGCTGCAACAGCTGTCAAGGCAACAACACCAGCTTCCACTCCAACTATAATTATTTTGTTCGAACATCCCTTAGATACTTCATTGTGAACCTTGAAATATTTTCATAAAAAATAATTTAAAATAAATTATACATTTATTTATAAATTAAATATAGTTGTATCCTAATAATACGATCAAAGGTTATGTGTTAAAATGCAAGGTAGCGGACGCACAAACATTTCTGTTAAAAAGTGCCATCTGGTTTTTAAATAAATAACCGCAGTATTAGTATTAGTTTAAAATTGTTTAATGCCTGAACTTCATATCAAGGCATAAGTTAATTTGACATTAAAGTCTGAAGTCAAAGGTTGTGACCAAATATAAAGGATTATAACCTCTTGATTTGGTTTTTATTTTTACATTAAATTACCCAATCTTTAATAACTTTACACTTGTGTCACAATATTATTTTACGACAGCTTTTCCTTTTGAAGTAATATAAGTTTAACTTCAGTTTAAGAATCATAATCAATGTTAACAAATCAGCACTTGAAATTTAAATTCAATTTAGAGTACATTTGTTATGTAGACAAAAGGTTAATGACGTTTTCACATCAGCACCTTACACAACTTTACATAAACTTACTAAAATATTGCAGTTTTAATATAATAAAGGCAAAATCAAAATCATTTATAATGCATCCAAAATATTTAAGAACTAAGTATGGCTAGTGGTTACGAATATAAGTCTTCAGCATTTAATGATACTCAAAAGATAGGAATGTATGCTCATAAATGAACTAGATATCATTTGAAGTATTTTTCTGAAGACGAATCTTACCATCTTAGCTCTTCCAACTTTGCAATCTGGGTAGTTCTTGTGATTTCTATCCATATCTAAAATTAAAAAAGTAAATTACATAGAGGATATTGAATGAGTTTAATACTAGTTGACTAAAACAATATTATGCGAGCCTCTGGCGAGCACAATATTGTTTAAAACAACTCGTTCAATAAATTTAGTACTGACTCTACACGAACATAATATTCTTTTTATCACATAATTATATAAAATTAGAACGGTAAACTGTTAACAAGAGCCATTTTTATTTTACGCGCTAACGTGTAACGCTAACATTAGCGCAAATGACGTCACATCAAAGTGTTATTACACTAGACTGTAATATCGTCTAGTGTAACATCGTTTTTCATTAAATGGCTTTATAACACTCCTGCGTCGCGGTTTATGTGATAATTATATTTCATTACACTACATTATATTACATTACATTATATTACATTACATTACATTGCATTAACTTATTCTACATTTAGCTGTTCAAAACACAATGTATATAAGGTTTACATGTCAGTCAGTACAAAAGATGTCACTCTTTTAAATCAGACCTTACTTAGGTTTATCAAATAGATAGAAAAACTTCTCTTTGTTGTCAATACAGCATTCATGTTTGTATTTGAGGGCTTCATTCATTACACTTTACATATAGATCATATACTGCAGGGGACGGCAAAAAAATGTTCATATTGTCCAGGTTGTCCCACAGCAAACAAGTGAAAATTTTCCCCAGTTTTCTTTAAATATATCATCGAGACATGCAAAAAGAAGTTTAAGATAAAACAGAAAAGTAAGTCAAAATCAGATTTTATATTCCATTTGATTAGATTTTAGGAGTGATTTTTGACACTTTACTGCAAGTATTTGAATACAATATTATATTATATGTTAATGCTTGAAGTTGTAATATATTAGGCTATTCTGGTTTCTAAATAAATAAATAACCCGTATTATAGATATGCAAGTTCCAGAGACCTTAAATTACTCTTGTCCGCCCTTTCTTATAAAAAAAGATTGAATAAGGAGCAGGATGAGTAGAAAGAAGTTAGCAGCTACTTGTCCTGTAAAATGAGTGCCTCTGATTTTTCCCCATTTCTACTGCAACTTAAGCTGAAAAGTTGAAAAGTTGATATACTTTACGTAAATATCCTACATTTTACAAGGGAGATTTTTGGCAAACCTATACAATTAACCCCCTTTTACATGTTGCATGTATTTACATATCATAAACAAAGGCAATGATTTAGCCACATCTTTTTCTGTATTTCTTTCCAATTTAACAATCTAATATGACATCATTACTATATATAAAATCAAAATCATTCAAGTGATATCAGTCATTTTAAGTGCAAGCAAGAGCACCGCATGTGGTGTTTAAATATTTGTCTGTTAAAAACTGGGGCAAAACTCCAAGAATATTGTTTTCAGAATTATGCCCCATGTATGACAACTGTATCTTGTCATGATGAGCAAATATTCCAAGTTTCATGTTGCTACCTTCTGCAATGTTTCTACAACCCAAATATGCAGCAGCGATCATATAAGCTGGACTTTCACAACAGATGAGCTAAAATAACCCTTTTATAATATACTTCATCGCATTTTACTATATATTCAAACAAAATTGATATATTTAGCAAAATTGGCATAATGTCCTTTTGGATTACACTTTGAGTATAATATAGCTTTTTCAAGTTGTATTTGTTAATGTGATACATGCATAAAATATAAAAAGACATACACAGGTTTTTAATAAACCTCCATATACGTAATCTGAATGTTTAAAATCCTATAAAGGCATTCCAACATAATTTGTTAAAAAATAAATTCAATTGTTGAATCACATTTTTACTCACTGTAAGTACAATTGAAACAAAAGTACAATATTAGATGGTCTGATTCAATGATGATGAGTCTGTATTCACAAAGTCGTAAAAAACATCTTATCTAAATTTTCCTTTCTGATCTCATACCTTTTTTATTTACAACCATTATGAACTACTTCTGTTTTAAAAATCAACACAATCATTTACAGAATCCTTTTTTTTCTTCAAAATAATCTCTACAGCAACTCACCTGTATTGCTAAGCTATTTCAATAACAATTCCCAACCTTCAAATTCTACATATGATCAAACTCTAAAATAGGGAGTAATAAAGAATCCCTAAAGAACGCACAAGACGACACAATATGTTGCAGGCTAAAACAATGTAAGAGTGTTATACCTGGCCATTTAAAACATACAGCAATTGTTATTTGTATTTATGAGAATAAATAACAATGCATGGGAATTCTAACCACCAGTAATAGTTGATGAATAGTTACAGTGCAAGCCATGGATGCTGTGTTAACTTACCTGTGATGTCTTGCAAGTAGGATATAGCCCAGTATAGCCCTCTGTCATTCCCGGAATTCATCTATATCTATGAGCAGTAGCAGCTGTGGGCTAACTTCAAACATTAATTTCAATTACATTGTTTCCAATACAGAATTATATGAATTAGAAATAAAATATTTCAAATAAAACATTTCAAAACCTCAACATGAAAAATGTGTTCAGATTGAAATCATGAATAATATTGAAATAGTTAAATTACCATGTAACATATGCACATACAACACGTACAGAAATGCTGATGGATAATTGATTTACAATAACACAAGATCACTGCGGTATACCGTGCCCCGGATAATGCTCGATATTATGAGGACTTTCATCCAATTTCGCGACTTTGAACAGGGAACGAAGGTTAGTTCAGCGACGATATTTTCCAAACTAATGGCTATTTCATTTATCTCAACGGGTTTTATATATCTAGAGGTATTTTTGTAGCTCTAAAAGACGTAGAAGTATAACAGGTATTTGTAAAATTGATTAAACTACCACTAAACGATCCACTGCTCACTAGAAAATACTGACGAGAGTTGGTAAGCGAACAGCATGGATCCTGATCAGACTGCGCGGATGCGATGGCTGGTCTGGATCCATGCTGGTCGCGAACGCACTTTGTTGGTTTTGTCATGACGCGGCTCATATTTCCAATCACCTCGTGTCAGAAAACCTCAGTGGAGTCCCTTAAAATTTAACATATCACTGTTTTAATTTTTATTTAATAGTAAATCAATTAAACTGAATAAGACTGTTTGTGTTCATGCAACAATTAAGAAAATGTGATAATTAAAGTTTTGATACTAGCTAGTCTCGGTCTTTATTTTATATAGGTTTTTACCAAAAGAAGACACGGCTGCATGTAAGAAATTGCAAAGGAAATTATCACAAGTATGCCATAAACACCAGCAAGCACTTGAATCCTTACAGAAAGCTATTACGGTAAGTTTTAGTTTTAATATTTGTAACACAAAAAAATGCTGACTATTCTTATAACTTGTATAGCTAAAATCTACTTTATAAACTGTTATAAAGTTAAGCTGTATCAACTTAAATGATGCCACGTTAATCATTGGTTGTTTTTTTTTATTTCATTCAAAGAGTTTACAACTTCTTGTATATATCATTTCTGTCAAATTACTTCCGGAAGTTTCAAGAGCTCTTCATAAAGATATTGATCTACACAAATCAATTCATCAAACCATTTTCTAATATTATCAAACTTATAATACCCACCATTATGAGCATTTCAACATTAAAGTGATGGATTTGTCAGTCCAAAACATTGGACTGACTGTAACACATTCTAAAGATGGAACATCTTTTTCATAAAAGTATATATATATAAAAACAATATATAACAAGTTTATTGAATTTGACTTTTATTTATAAAAAAACTCTTAAATGATAAGGAATACAAAGAACTGGACAGGAAATGTTTGGATGCATACAATTGATACATTGTATGATGGGACTTGATTAATCTTCTATTTGATGTAAGTCTAGACCTATACCTTGAGAACAAAATTTCAATTACTTTGAGCACTCCTTTTTTACCAGAATGATAATTCTAATTATGAAAAATGACCATAAACTGAAAAGCGTTGCAACGCTTTTACTCAAATTGGACTAAGAATGGCACACAATACGTTTTCAATTTCTTTCTGGCAATAGTTCTTACTTACCTTAAAAAATATGCCCTTTATATTTTCAGTATTTAGATGAGAGGAGCTCTATGTATGGGCGAATTCCACTTTAGATGTTAAAGGGAAAGATTGTATGCTCAAATTAAAACGAGGTGAGACAATTTCATGGTATATGCGGGTAATCATACTCAATATGCGTCACTTTTTTCATCTTTATAAAAGCACAATTTATAAAGAAATATGGATTCCCTTAATATTGTAATTGCTGTTCAGAATTAGAATTCAGAAAATGAGCCGTATTGTTAAATACTGTGTAAGATATTTACAAATTGTAGTTTTTATTTTAAAAATCGTTTTATGTTATTAACATGAAAGATATATTGTATTATAGATATAAATTGTAATCTATTGTTAAAATATTTTTTCTTCTTCTTAAGATATTAACATTAAACAGAAGTTTTGTTCTGCTGATGGCAGCCGTGCATTTGGTTGGACAAGAAAGTTTGGATGCGGGAACAAGCATTATGGATTCTATTCAACGAATGAAAAAAGACTTGTCCGATTAAAATTCAATTAATCTTTTATTTATAAAAATCTGCAAATATTAAATAAATATTTATTTTGAATCACATTCAGGGTTATTTTCTTTTTATTTCTCTCGGCGTATCTATATAATTATATTAACACAATTTTGGTCAAACTATTTAAATTTGCTTAAATTGTCTTAGCTTTGTTATTTATTTATCGATTGGAAGAATTTTGACTAAAAAATCGGGATGTGAAATAACTCAAATATGACCTTGACATTTAATTGATATTGAATGTCAATGTCAAATCATCTAAATTTGCTCGTCATAACTTTATTATTTATTTACCGATTGGATTTAGTTTTGGACAAAATAACACTTATGACAAAACCGATATGTTAATTTTTTCTAATATAGCATTGGCCTTATGTTACTCGGGATGTTAAATAACTCTAATATGACCTTGACCTTTAATTGACCTTGAATGTCAAGGTCAAATCATTTAAATTTGCTTAGATTGTTATAACTTTGTTATTTATTTACAGATTTGATTTTTACTTCAACAAAAGAACACATATGGCAAACCAAGATGTTGATTTAATTCAAATATGGCATTGGCCTTAAAGGGTATAAATCTATGTCTTATGAAATATTTCTATAAAATTTATCAACAGTAAAATAATATTGGTTCCTTTATTATATGGTGGATTCCCGAAAAAGTTGTAACATAGAATGTCTCTTTTATTTAACACTCATGAATATTGTACGTAAACAGAATGAAATGTTCCAGAATTAAATATTAAGTGGATATTTTTTCGTTTGAGTGAAATATGGGGTATATTTTCACTCAACATGATAAAATGCCACATATTTTCACGAGCCGGGACGGGAGAATATTTCAAGAAAAACGAAAAAATAACCTTTTTATTTAATTTCATTATCAAAGAAAAATGGTTACGAACCACCTTGCTTGCTGCAATTGTACAGCGCGCAGTGATATATAATTTATAGATGCGTCTTGTTTTGCACGCGATATTTGGCGCTACATTGTGACGTCACGTAACAACTCTTTAAACGTCTGTACAACGTTAGTGACCGAATTAAAGATATTGGTGTTCGGATTTATTTTCTTAGTTAGACCATTTTCTATCATTCTAGATAGTTTTCAAAACAAAATTCAACAAAAGTTGTTTTGTATTTATCAGATTTTTCAAACAAAATGGCGAAAGAAGACCCTTAAAATAAATATGAGTTTTGACTCCGCCCACTTTCATATTTATATTTCATATTTATTTTTAAAAAATATGAAATATATTTGACAGATATAGCACCATATTTCATGGGTAAAATCAAAAAAATATTCCATATTGAATTATTAGGGAATGTGATAGAATATTTTTACATTTTAACCTAACAATTCATACAATCTCATACTAAAATATCGCTTAAGAAATACACAAAAAGACTGGTAGTGAAATGAAATGTAAAATGAAAACAAATAAGTTAAACGAATCTTTAGCTAAGAGCACGTTTAGACTCAAATCAAGGTCAAAGTATAAAATACAGACGCAGATCGTTGAAATAATCTTTATTCTAATTATTTATTGGATATACCACGTTGAAAAAGAAAGGAAGTTAGTTTTACATATCAAAGCAATAAGAAACAGAATAAATCGGATATACATTTACATGAAAATATGAAAAAAACTTTTACCATATGTAACTTTGCAAAACATTAAAATGTCTTCCATACATAAAACGGTCAAATCGTATATCAAGCTAGAGATTATTAAAGTTAAAAAAGAAAAAAACTGCAAACAGACATCCGTGACACCTAAAAGTACGTAATCTATATGATCATAAGGTAAGAAATTTAAAAAAAAAATATTGTCAAAACATATTAACCCTCAAAATGCTAAATAATGCAACATTGTGATTTTACAAATGGAAACATGTGTTTTACCTGAAAATATGTAAATTCTAGGAAAAGAAATCATCATTGAAACATACTTGAATAATAATCATACTCATATAATTCCTAATATGTTTAAATAAACACCTTTTTATATTTAACATACCGTTGTAATTTTCAAAGAGTATGTTACATGGTGTTTAGGAGTCAATCAAGTAAATACGTTATGTTGAATTGCAAATCACAAGAGTTGTTATTGAAATATTATGTAATATTTTCAACCAAGACGTGTCCTGTACAGTATACTCTGACGTAACATATATACATGCGCGTGTTTGACAAGTGAATGCAAACAGCATATCGGTAAGAGATAGTACATATAATTAGTGTGCGTCGTTTCTCCACAACGTCACTCTGTCTTTGTACCTCTACAATGGAATACCCAAGTTTATCGTTAACACAATGTTCTGTCAGTGGCAAAATGAAATAAGAAACAATCTAGACAAAGGTATGATGTTGATAAATTTAGGTGCCTTAACAATTTCTAATGATTTTACTTATACGATCACATTTAACTGCTCGAAGAAAATCTATATGATCGTTTAATTCGTTTGATTTAACAATGGGATACATAAATATAACTTTATGTAACATTTTGAAAGTGGTTTTACAACAATTACTTTTCATCCAATATATTTTCGATTCCTTGCACATTCCTTCAACCTTTTCAGAAATCAGATATTGCGGAACCTCAATATCTGTCCTTACCCACTCTTTCTTGTCAGTCTCGTTATCCTTTTTTTGGTGAATGTCAACCTGTGAGATGAAACAAGGTCATTTATTTTCAATTTTATGAGTCATTACATTGTAGTTAAACGATTTTGAATATAATTAAGGATACAGATATTTCGCTTATGCAATTATTTATACAGGGATATGTCGGACAATTTTTACAATGTTTTTGTCGGAACATAAAATCTCCTGGCCAGTTAATATACAGATATATAGTATACCTCTCCATTTGAATACTCGTTAGGGTCAAGACTTGGAGCTTCTGTCTCATTCATATGCTGTGCAATACATTCGCTTTGAGTATTACTCTCCCTATCAACAAATCGTGTAACAACTATGCCCTGAAATAATTGCATAAAAAAGCATTTTGTCCCAACTTGTATACGACGGTATAGATTCTAATAACAATTATATACATGATGGAAGTCAGATAACTGTTTCCCATTATATCCCATGGACCATTTAATCAACCGTAAGTAATTAAGTAAGTAAGTAAGTAAGTAAAGGATGATTTATACCTACTCAGCAATATCTGCTTAAATGATCATAAAATACATTTTTATATAACGTGTTTGAAGAAGGAAGTCTTCTTGTTTATGTGCAGTTCATCCACATGGTCAACTTACATGTTCGTAATCATAGATGACCTCTGCCATATTAGAAATCCGCACGTCAACCTCTGTTTTGGTTACATTAGTCTCCTCCTCAAATATGTCCCCTTCGTCAGATTTGAATGTTTGATGCACAACCTATGTAATATTAAATAAAACATGCATTCAAAATGACAGAATTATATATGACAAGCGACCCTATAATTCAACAGAGTCATGAAAAAAAAACATTTTTATATATAATTTGATCATAATGCTCAGGCCCCGTGTTCACAAAGAAAAGATCAGGATCAGGATCAGATGATCCTGATTTTATTTTCATTGTTTTATACAACTAAAATTGATGGTATTATGCTAGAAGTAAATGGTACATATTCGGAATATAAATAATTGCTTACTTGCAAAGAAACCAACCTATTTTGGGGAAAAATCAACAAATAACAAAACAAATACAAAAATAATCGGATCAAAATAAGGATCAAGATCAGGATCAAGATCAAAATTTGGATCAACTGTAAAATGCCCATATCTTGTAAAAATAAGAATAAATTCATTCTAAAATTTCATAAGCATGCTATCTCAAGTCCAGTTTTATTAAGTTAATACTGAATATTTCATCTATGAGGATAAATAATAGAGAATATTTGAGTTTTTAAATTTGATCCTAATCTTGATCCTGATCCTTAAATCTTTGTGAACACGGGGCCAGGATATGATCAGGCAGTCAATTGGTGAATATATTTCTTTAGGGACCACTGGTTGGTGTATCAAGAAGTACATAAAGGACATTACTGTGGAAAACAACAATGAAGTAAGTAAGTAATAAACTACTATAACATTTACTAAATTTCATTGAAATAAAATAGAACAACATATTTCGTCCAAGGTTTTTTTATGTTTTACTAATCCTCTTATGTTTCACTTTATTTCTGTTATAAACAATAAAAAACAAAACAACAAAACAAATAAAAGCAAAAACAACAAAAAACAAACAAACAATTAAAAAAAACGAAAAAAACACACACAATCGAACAAGAAGAAAATCCAATGAAATTTGCAAATAAAAACCCAATAAGGCCTACCTTGTATGCTTCTGTTGTAATTTTTGGTCCAAAATGGACAGACATAAGAACAATAGCTGCAACAGCTGTCACAGCAACAACACCAGCTTCCATTCCAACAATTATTCTTTTATTCGAACGTTCCTTAGATTCTTTAATGTAAACCTTCGAATATGTCATAAAAATTATTTTATATAAATTATAATTATTTATTTATTTATATATTAAATGTAGTTGTTCCCTAATAATAGGATCAATGGTTTTGTGTTAAAATGCAAGGTAGAGGACGCACAAACATTTCTGTCTAAAAAAAACTAGTGATGTTATATGAAATACATACATTATATGAAATATTTTTTCGTCATTAAATTTTACTTATCATACAAAAATTTTAGAAAATTCTATGAAGGAAATGTTTCGATATTTTTTTAATAATTTACAGGATTCATGTTTATATTGCTCATTTTTTGTTCAGTTAAAAAGCTTGAAAAACTCATATTTTTAAGAAATATATTCAAATTATCATTTGTTTCATACAGAATCAAAAAAACAAGTTATCTTTGTATGAATTTGTGCTTGTTTTGTGTATTTAACTGTCTTTTACATTTTTTATATTTTAATACACAGTGTGACTATTTTGACAGTTCTGATATATACGGTTACCATGGAAACTGCCATTTCACAAAAAATCCAAATTGTCAACATTTTTTTTTTATTCGCCATTAAATTTTACTTATTATACAAAAATTTTTAAAAAATCTATGAAAGGATTAAAGTTTCCTTAAACTGTAGAAAATGTCTTTAAGCTTAACGAATATTTCATAGCAAGTTTTATAAATTGTACACACTCTTTATGCTCTATTTCTGTGGGTATAAAAAATCAGTGCAAGATCAGGAAGTAAGGAAGTAAAGAGTTGCTTTATTTGATTTATTTCTGCCGTTAAAGAAATGTCATCAATGCAAACATTTAAATCATCAGTTACCTTTTAAGTCATCAGTATATTTGGAGTATTTTTCAACTTGGATATTAAGTGATTTATTGGAGCTTGGATTATTTTTTAAAATAGTTTAAATTATTCTTGTGGATTTTATTGTGGGAATTTATTCTAAAGTGTTCTTGGATTTTACTTGGATTTAAGTGTGCTATTCAAAAAGGATCATTCCAGGATCAGACTAGACATTTGAAATTTACATTTTTATTTGGATTTCAGGTATTTGTACACATAATTTGTTGTTTTAATTTTCTTTGATAATTTTTCTGTAATAAATTTGTTATTGTTACAAGTTTGTTGCTGGCTTTTCTTTCTCGTTACGCCTGGCTCGTAACAATATATACGGTTACCATGGAAACTGCCATTTCACAAAAAATCCAAATTGTCAACATTTTTTTTATTCGCCATTAAATTTTACTTATCATACAAAAAATTTAAAAAAATCTATGAAAGAATTAAAGTTTCCTTAAATTGTAGAAAATGTCTTTAAGCTTAACGAATATTTCATAGCAAGTTTTATAAATTGTACACACTCTTTATGCTCTATTTCTGTGGGTATAAAAAATCAGTGCAAGATCAGATAGTAAGGAAGTAAAGAGTTGCTTTATTTGATTTTTTTTCTGCCGTTAAAGAAATTTCATCAATACAAACATACGTAACTGCGATTAATATATTCTTCCATTCTTACCCAATACGTGTGTTTATTTATTTAATATTTGCAAATGTTTTGATATATAGATTAAGTGTTCCTAAAACAAAACAATCAAGGCAATATTTATCTGTTTCTTAATAGCAATCAGCAGTTGGACTGATTACTGTAATAATGAAGTAATTTCAAACAAAATAATTACTATCAATAAAGCGTTTTAAGACATGTTTTGTCTGTGCCAAATTCTTTTTTACTGGCAATGTCATGAAAAAAGATATATTTGACAAGATCATAAAAAGTAACTTAAATGCTTTTTCTGGCACATGAACTGTGATAATATCAGTCTTTCCAGGTTCCATTCCTAAAGCTTGCTTCATTATAAAACGTTCAGAAGACAATACCTAAGAGTGCTGTGATTTTTTTGCTATGCATATTGAAGGCTGCTGGCGTATCACAAGCTTAAATAGCTGCCCAAAGTAATAAACTCCTAATTATTTTTTTTATATATCCCACGTAGTAGTTATCCTTATTATAGAACAAATTAAAATGGCACCAAGACGCTTCCGTAAGTATGTCATTCTATAACATCTTTTTCTGAAAAAGGTATAGGTGAAATTATGCCCATCCAAGGGTATATAGAGAGTGAACAGGTGAAAGCCAAAGAATTTTACATTTTACCATAATTCCTTTCAATTTTATAATATTCATACCATGAACGATGAAGAACGCATATGGCATAAGGGAATTCTATAAATATTTACATGTAACACTCAATTTATAATAAGAGTGGTGCAGTCTTGTCATATTTTGGGGAGATTTACATTCTATTCTAAACATTTGCGGTCAATCCCTATTGAAACAGTCATTTTTTTTAAATACATAATCAATTCAGCTTAAATTCACAAGGAAAACATCTCATTAATATGTCTTCTATTTGAGTTAAACTAATCTTGACATACATAATTTATTTCCTATCACAGAAGCACTTTTTACTTTATTTTTCCAGCACAAGAAATAAAGATTTAAATTCGAATACTTAATATGGTTTAAAATCAATCAATTTGTAAATGCCTTAACTTCATACCAAGGCATCAGTTAATTTGACATTAAAGTCTGAAGTCAAAGGTTGTGAACAAATGTAAAGCATTATGGCATCTTGATTTGGTCTTTTTTGTACATTGAATTACCCAATCCTTAATAACTTTGTGATTAATGCTTCCGAGGGATCACTTTGTTTCCAGATTTTTATACTTCACAACAGCAGGTGTCAAGTGCTGTGTGGCAGCTGTAAAAGGTTGCCGCGTACTTCACTTCAGTGTTGTTATATTTTTCTGGTCCTTCGGGATCATTGATGCCAGCACTATTAAATGTTGAGAATTGAGTACCGCTCAAGCCGGTGCTAGGGGGCGTGAGGGATGTTGCAATTATTCATTATCCCTCATGTACAGACTCAATCAAACCGAGTCTGCAATTCTTATGTAATTTTGTTGTGAGTAATGCTTCCGAGGGATCACTTTGTTTCATGATTTTATACGTCACATCAGCAGGTGTCAAGTGATGTGTGGCAGCTGTAAAAGGTTGCCCCGTACTTCACTTCAGTGTTGTTATATTTTTCTGGTCCTTCGGGATCATTGATGCCAGCACTATCAAATGTTGAGAATTGAGTACCGCTCAAGCCGGTGCTGCTAGGGGGCGTGAGGGATGTTGCACTTATTCATTATCCCTCATGTACAGACTCAATCAAACCGAGTCTGCAATTCTTATTATATGTAATTTTGTTGTGATTAATGCTTCCGAGGGATCACTTTGTTTCCAGATTTTTACACTTGTGTCAAACTATTTTTTAAGACAGCTTTTCCTTTTGTAGTTTTATAAGTTTAACTTCAGTTTAAGAATCATAAACTAATCAATGATAACAAATCAGCACTTGAAATTTAAATTCAAATCAGATTAAAAGTGTTATGTAGACAAAAGGTTTATGACTTTTTCAGATCAGCACCTTACAAAACTTTACATAAACTTACTAAAATATTGCAGTTTTAATACAATTAAAGAAATGCGTCTTAAAAATTTTGTATTCAAGTATGGATAGTGGTTACAAAAAATAAACTTTCAGCATTTAAAGATACTCAAAAAATAGAAATGTATGCTCATACTAGACATCATTTGAAGTATTTTTCTGAAGAAAAATATTACCATCTTAGCTCTTCCAACTTTGCAATTTGGGTAGTTCTTGTGATTTCTATGATATCTATATCTAAAATACAAATCAAAGTATATTACATTATATTTCATAACACTACATTATATAACATTACATTATATTACATTACATCACATTAACCAATTCTACATTCAGCTGTTTAAACCACAATGTATATAATATATGATAAACAACATCAACAAGGAAAGGCGGCGTTTGACATGAACGTAACCCCCATATGACGCAGCAACAAGAACCAGCGGCAAGGAGCCCAGGTGGACCCCAAACAAAAACCTGGCTCTTAGCCCCACCATGTTCCTATAAACGAGACAGTGTAAATAAAATGAATCCCCGTAAAAGGTTTACGTGTCAGTCAGCACTCTTTTGAATCAGACCATACCAAGGTTTATCAAATACATGTAGATAGAAAAACATGTATTTGAGCCGTGTCATGACAAAACCAACATAATGGGTTTGCGACCAGCATGGATCCAGACCAGCCTGCGCATCCGCGCAGTCTGATCAGGATCCATGCTGTTCGCTATCAGTTTCTCTACTTGTAATAGAGTTGGTAAGCGAACAGCATGGATCCTGATCAGACTGCGCGGATGCGCAGGCTGGTCTGGATCCATGCTGGTCGCAAACCCATTATGTTGGTTTTGTCGTGACGCGGCTCATTTGATGTCAATACAGCATACCTTGTTTGTTATTGAGGGCTTTTTTCATTACACTTTATATTTAGATCATATACTGCAGGGGACGGCAAAATCAATTGTTCATATTATCCAGGTTGTGCCACAGCAGTCAAGTGAAAATTTTCCCCAGTTTACTTTATAGATATCATAGAGACATGCAAAAATAAATTTAAGATAAAACAGAAATGTAAGTCAAAATAAGATTTATCAATCTATTTAATTAGATTTTAGTACTGATTTTTGATTCTTTACTTCAGGTATATGAATACTCTTTTCTTCAGGTATATGAATACTATAAGAATCTTACACTGGCTGCCGGTACAGAATCGAGGGTAACTGTTGACGGCGGTAACGAGGCTCTGCCGAGTTTCCGCTTAAACAGTTACCCGAGAGCTAGATATTCTCGTCTGTACCGACAGCCGGTGTTTCATTCTTTTTCTTGCATCTTACATATCAATTATTTTCTGAAGAGAAATTACGAAAACTGATATTCTCATTACGCACTTGTTCTTATAGTAGCGTATGAACTTACAACTTCATTCATAACGGTTAAGTGACGTCATCATAAGAACGCAATTCGTTCATAAAAGGCGCGCGACAATGACGTCATTTAAAGCACGCGACTTGTCTTACATGGGGGTATTAAGCACCGGTGTAAACGGTAGATTATCCTGTCTGACATGCAAGAAAATATTATATTATATGTAAATGATGTAAGTTGCAGTATATTAGGCTATTCTGGTTTCAAGATAAATAACCAGTATTATAAATATACAAGTTCCAGAGACCGTAAATTACGTTTGTCCGCTTTTATTATCAAGTAAAATTAGATCGAATTAGGAGCATTATGGGTAGAAAGAAGTAAGCAGCTACTTGTCCTGCAAAATGAGTCCCTCTGATTTTTCCCCATTTCTACTGCAACTAAAGCTGAAAAGTTGATATACTTTACGTGAATATCCTACATTTTACAAGGGAGATTTTTGGCAAACGTATACAATTAAACCCCTTTTACATGTTGCATGTATTTACATATACTAAGGCAATAATTTAGCCACATTTTTTTCTGCATTTCTTTCCAATTTAACAGTCTAATATGACATCATTAGCATATATCAAAACAAAATCATTTAAGTGATATCAGTCATTTTAAGTGCAAGCAAGGGCACCGCGTGTGGTGTTTAAATGCTTGTCTGTTAAAAATTAGTTAAAAGTTAAAATGGGGCATAACTCCATGAACTCCAAGAATATTGCTTTCAGAGTTATGCCCCATGTATGACATCTGCATCTTGTAATGATGAGCAAATATTACAAGTTTCATGTTGCTACCTTCGTCAATGTTTCACTAATGGGCTACAATCCAAAGATGCAGCAGAGATCATATTAGCTTGACTTTTTCTTCACAACAGATGAGCAAATGAGCTAAAAATAACACTTTTATAATATACTTTGTCGAATTTAACTATATATTCAACCATAAACAAAATTGGCATAAAAGTCCTTTTGAATTACACCCTAGTATAATAAAGCTTTTTTTCTGTCAAGTTGTATTTGTTAATGTGATACATGCATTAAATATAAAAAGACATACACTGGTATTTCCCTATAATAAACCTCCATATACGTAATCTGAATGTTTAACACCCTATAATTGCATTCAAACATAATTTGTTGAAAAATAAATTCAACTGTTGAATCACATTTTTACTCACTACAAGTACAATTGAAACAAATGTACAATAATAGATGGTCTGATTCAATGATGATGAATCTGTACAAAGGTCTCCCTTTTCACAAAGTCGTAGAAACAATCTTATCTAAATTTTCCTTTCTGATTAAATACCGTTTTTTATTTACAACCATTATGAACTACTTATGTTTTAAAAATCAACACAATGATTTACAGAATCCTTTTTTCTTCAAAATAATATGTACCTCGACTCACCTGTATTGCTTAGCTATTTCAATAATAATTCCCAACCTTTAAATTCTACATATGGTCAAACTCTAAAATAGAGAGAAATAACGAATCCCTAAAGAACGCACAAAACGACACAATTGAATATGTTGCAGGCTAAAACAATGTAAGAGTGTTATACCTGGCCATTTAAAACATACAGCAATTGTTATTTGTATTTATGAGAAATAATAACATTGTATAGGAATAGTTGGTGCAAGCCATGGATGCTGTATTAACTTACCTGTGATGTCTTGCAAGCAGGATATAGCTCAGTATACATGGTATAGCCCGCTATATTTCCTGGAATTTATCAATATGTATGAGCTGTAGCAGCTGTGGGCTAACTTCAAACATAAATTTTAATTACATTGTTTCTATTACAAAATTACATGCCTGACATCCAACTTACAATACAATTTATTAGAAATGAAATATTTCAAATAAAACATTTCAAAACCTCAACATGGAAATATGTTCAGACTGAAACCATAAATAATATTGAAATCGTTAAATAACCATGTAACATATTCATGTATAACACATACAGAAATGCTGATGGATAATTGATCTATAGTAACACAAGATAATATTTTTGTTAAAAAAGGACAAATGTCTTGGGATAAAAGAAAATCTGTTTGTAAAACAAGCAGCACTCCATTACTCTCAGTTCTTGATAGTGGAATAACAATAGGTCTTGCAAAATACCTTAAAGTAGTTAAAATTGGAACACAATTATGTCAAAATCAATGGCAGTAGCTTTAAATCCCCTTGCCTGGAAGTTAATGTGAACGGAAAACGGAAAAAAATCCTCCCGGACTAAAGCCCTCCCATCCAAAAAATGACAAAGCGTACAAATGCCCTCGTGTGAAAAAGACAGGACGGACAAAAGCCCTCCCGTGATAATGACAGGGCGGACAAAAGCCCTCCCGTGAAAATGACAGGGCGGACAAATGCCCTCCCGTTAAAATGACAGGGCGGACAAATGCCCTCTCGTTAAAATATCAAGTCTTTGGTCCGCCCCAAGGTAATACAGGGGCCAAAGTCATCTGCAGTCTGATAAACACGAAGGTTCTGACCTAAAAGATATTGGGTCTAAATATTAAGTTACAGAGTTAAAGCCAGTTACAGGAAAAAACAAGAGAATTTTCTTAATTTGACCTTGATGGCCGAGCTTTATTAAAGGTCAATGTCAAATCTAACTTATCCGATATGTTTGTATGGTCACAAGTGTTGTTTTTGTCCAGGTAAAAATTAAATCCGTACATAAATAACAAAATCATGAAAAAAAAATAAATGGGAGCAATCTGCTTTTACAGTTACCTCCATTATTTGTCACGGAAAATAGGTTCGTTATAGTTTCATAATTGAACACCTATCACAGATAATAATTTTACTTTGTCATTTTAAATGCCCAATACAAAAAAATACAAATACATTTCCAAAAAACTGCCGTTTAGTAATTCTCACAAAAACATCTTTGTTGACCTACGCTTGCGGTGACTTCGATATTAAATATCTACTTATTTCTTGAAACCATCAGCTTTGTTTCCTTTAAGAGTAATCAGTTCCTTACCATTTTGTACCAAGATTTTGAAATTTGGTGGAACAATAATGGAGTTATGGAGTTCACATTTACTTAAAGATGAATGCTAAAAAATGAGCAGCGAGTTGCATACCTTAACTAAATATATTTGTATCTTTTTTCATTAGTGAGTGAGTGAGTGAGTGAGTGAGTGAGTGAGTGAGTTGGTGAGTTGGTAAGTGAGTGAGTGAGTGAGTGAGTGAGTGAGTGAGTGACAACTTTATTTTATGAGGCTAACACATTCAGTTTCCCGATCTTCCATGCGGGCTTCAGTATATACAAAACAACATAAAATACAATCACAGTCAACATTTAGACAACATAAATGTGTACATTAAACATCATATCAATACAATAAATAAGTAAACATTTTTTTTCTTACATAGAGAAGTGACATTTTCATAACTCCAGCATGGAAAGTATTTGTTGTTTTTTTAAACAATATGTACAAACAATTAGATAGAAAATTAAAATTGCCACTAGATATGAAATTTCCTCAGCGTATCAGAATTTCGAATATGTATTGGTATGCTGTGCCATACCACAGGACCAGAGTAATTAAATGATTTTCTAAAGAATTCTGTTTTTGGCTTATGTACAGTTAGTTTTTCATTTTGTATAGATCTTAAGTTTAAGTCATGTTTGTCATTTGCATGCACTGTTTCGAATTTATTTTTCATATAAACAGGAAAGGATGGTTCATTTATAGATTTATACATGAGGATTGCCTTTTTATACATAATTCTTTGGTCAAAGGACATCCAATAGAATATGTGATGGGGGTCTAAAATAATTCTTGCAGCTCTTTTTTGAAAGTTGACA